TTAACACTTACACATGAATCTTTATTTGGACATTTATCCCTTTTATGCCCCTCTTTATGACAGAGGCCACAAGTTTGAACTTACCCTCTTCTTGATGGTTTCTGAGATGTGATAGGTTGTTGGTTTGAATGACTTGAAGATGGTTTGCCCTCATTGGATGACCTCACCCTATTTTTTAGGTCTGCCTGGTAAGTTTGGAACTGGGGGAGGTTCAATTGGTTCATAGTCGTCCACCTTCATGAAAGCTTTACCTGGAACCGGTTGCAAATAATGCTGATATGGTGCCTTGTATGTTGTTTTGTGATACCACTTGGAAATGAATGACATTGTATCTGACTTCTTATGGTACAAAGCACATATGGAGTGTAGACATGGTATTCCTGTAAGTTCCCATGCCCTACAAGTACAGACCAGCTTATCCAAAACAACAGAGTGTTTGTCAGCTCCCTCACCTATCTCAAACCCCATATCACCATTGAATATTATAGTGCATCCTGTTGCAGCCTCCTTGTTGTCTTGATAGTATTCCATGCATGTAGGAGACCATTCATTTATCCATTTCTCTTGACTATCTTGGAATTGAGATATCCTTTTCATTGCCTTCAACCTTATGTCTCTTAGCATGCTAACAATAGGTTTTGTTCTTGCTTCCCGGATCCATGAGTTGAAGGACTCAGTTATATTTTTATCAACCATTCAACACTGACTTTTGTTACTAAAATAAGCACGACACCATGTGTGGATTGGATACTTCAAAACATGAGAGGCTGCTTCTTGACTTAATTTTCCTAACTTTTTCAAGTTCATTTCCAACTCTTCTTCATATGTGCTCCATGCACAAATCCTGAATTTCTTACAAAATTGATCTCCTCTCCATTTCTTGGACCAGTTGGCATAAACATGCCTAACACAATACCTATGTTCTATATCAGGTATAATCTCTAAAGCTGCACTTATTAAATCCTTTTGCATGTCATAGATTAGGGTTAACTCAGCACCAGTGTGAAGCTCCAGTTCCTGAACCAGCCAAGTGAGAAACCATCTCCAGTTAGACTTGTTTTCTTTGTCTATTAGAGCCCAAGCAATTGGAACCATTTTGTCATCTCCATCCACACCAACTGCACTAAGCAAATTCCCCTTACAAACTCCCTCTAAAAAGCAACCATCAACCCCAATTATTCTTCTACAACCACCCATCCAGTTTCTCCTCAAAGCATCAAAGCAAATAAACATTCTTTTGAAGACTCTCCTCCCGTCTCTAAAGGAGTGATTGCACAGTTCAATTTCAGCTTTAGATCCAGGATTGCTCCTCTTTAAAGTAGCAGCATATGCCTCCAGGTAACCAAACTCTGCTTTATAACTCACATCCAACTCTTGAAGTATAAGCCTCTTTGCCCTCTTGCATTTGTACAAGCTGACATTAATCTTCAAAACTTTCTCAGTCTCCTCTTTCATATCAGCAGCCCTAAAGTTTGGATTTTTTTGTAGATACCCTTTGAAGTAATTGGCTAACCATGTATGAGAAGCACTAGGGATGGAAAAGTATCTGAAACACTTGTGGCCTAGCTCGCAAACTTTAACTGCCAAGCCAGAATTCTTCCCATCTTTAGAAATCTACAATCTGAATGGGCACCCTTCCTCATTCAGAAATTTTACAGCCAACCTGTTCTTCTCATTGGGTTTGATTTTAAGCTTATAGCCAAATTTGACACCATAATCTGCAATGGCAGTTCTAGCCTCATGGACATCTTCAAATGTCATCCCAATAACAAAGCAACTACATCCATATGTGGCAGTGTAATTAACCCTCACTTCTTCATCACTTTCTTCTGTTTCCTCTTCTTCATTGTTACTGTCAGTATCTTCTGCTCCCTCTTCAGGTTCTTCATCAGTCACATAACCATTTGGCACCCCTCTACTATTACTTTCAGGGGGAAGTACCCCCTCATTGACCGATTTAGAGATTTGGTTACTCACATTCTCACTTTGCTGGTTTTGAACATAAGACCATTCTATTTGGGGAATGAGAAGGGGCTCGTCCAGTTGATGATCAACATACAACTCTATATCATCGATCCAAGAAAAAGTCCTAATGCGGTTCAAAACCTTTCTAATTGTGTCATCATCTTGAATAAAAAACAACCCATTGTCCAAATCTTTTCCGGGCACCAACACATATATGTTTTTTTGTGTTATGAAACCTAATTCCTCTTTATAAGTTCTTTGAATGTCATGAAAGCAGAGAAAGTCAGGATCAAACCTACATATTGTATGGACATCCCCATCAACATATTTCATTTTCGGGTGCGAAATCCACCTCCCACTGTGATTAAACCGGAGGTTGATCAAGTCACCCATTCTTTACAAGAAAAATAAGATAAGTACACTGAATACCTTTAACCGTGACTGTGGATTCCAAAATAATCGACTAAGTAGCCCCTGTCATTCATGTGCGTACGGAATCCATCTTCTTCTAAGCACACTCAGTTTCCGGATAAGGATCTTCATGGCAGATAAGTTAGGGTTTTCATTTTTGTTGGGTAGCGTTTAATTGGGGGAAGATGGAGGTCTTAACGCCAGTTGGACGGCGCGGTTAGGGAGTGGCCAAATGTAACGCAAATACTCGGCTTATGTGTTTAAATGGCCCATTTTAAACCTGGGTGTCCAATCCGAGATTACTAAATAACGTTAGTGTCATATTTGGTCCTTTTCCCTACTACTAATGGTTTTAGTACACTAATAATATTTTTATCGCATATTTATTTAATAAAATCTACGGTGTATTATTTTTATGGGGGTTTTATGGGAAGAACTAATCAATATAGCCTGTTTATAGCTTTGAATCCTTAGGTTACTGTTTTCGAAGATCAAAACTCAGAAGAGTGAGAAGACAAAGGCTAACAGGCTTTGACTTGGTTTACTAGTTCCTAGGTAGCGCGGGTGAATTGGAAGTACGAAAACATCATAAAGAAACTAGGGGTGGACTCGGGCCGGGTGGCCCGACCCGGGACCGGTACTGTTCCGGCCCGACCCGGTGGCCCGGTCAGTGACCGGTCCGGGTAGGCCCGACTCGTGGGTTTTTCGGTCCGAGCTCGGGTCACCCAAAACAAGGCCCGGCCCGGCCCGGTTCGGGCCAAAATTTATTTTTTTTCCCAATTTGTTTTAAATTTTCGGGTTGGGCTGGGTATTTTGGGCCATTTGGGGTGGTTTGGGGGGTTGAGGGTAGGAGGGGGGTTAATTAGGAAGAGGGGGGGGGGGGGGGGGGGGAATTGATAATAGGCCCGGCCCGGACTCGGACCAGACCCGGTGGGTACCCGGGCCGGTCCCGGGCCCATCTACTCAGAACCGGCGGCCCGGCCCGAGTCCAAGTCTAAAAGAAACAGAAATATATTACATAGGAAAAATTGATAGTAATAATCCTAACTATTAGCGGTCCGCTTATAATAATCTCAACTATCGATTATTTTATAATAATCCCAACTTTAGAGACCTTCCGCTAATAATGGTTCGACGTGACCGACTATAAATAAATTCATATAGTTTCTAAAGTGGATGAGAAGAGACAGTGGCGGACTCAGAAAAACAGAGTCACGAGGTCCCTAAACTATTGTAACTCTAATTAATATATATATATATATATATATATATATATATATATATATATATTAAAGACGTCGGTCAATCTATTGTGGTCTGCTTTGGGGCTACAGTTGTAATTAAATCGGATCGAATCGAATATTGAATAATATTATTCGTATTTGTATGATTTGACGAATATTCGTATTCGTATTCGTTTAGTATACGAACCATAAATTCTATTTGTATTCGATTCATTACACATATTAGAATATATTCGGTTTTTATTTGAATGTTTAAATTCAGATGTTTTAAATGCCAATTTTTTCACCAATTCAAATTATGATGTATCGTACTTTTTTATTTTTTATTTATTTTCAGACATGTTTACTAAAATGAATGTGCAAACTTAATTAACTAGAGAATTGAAGTAGAGCGCGGGTATATACAGATGGAATATACTATAATGTAATATACTACTCTGTACTATATACTTCGTAAACATATATTTTGAATATAATCAAATAAAGATTCAAAAAAAACAGGGATACTTTGAATACATTCGAATAATATACAAAATGAATATATGTAGATTCGTATTCGAAAATTATTCGAATACCAAAACTAATTCGTATTTGAATATTTTAAATTAGGATCCACAATTTCGAATCTAAATCGCGAATTGGATTGAAATTATTCGATTCGTTTAAAATCCAAGTTAAGGTTATATGGGATTAAAAAGGACAAAAACCATGTCGTTTTGGTCTTTTAAAATAAAGTGTTTAGAAGACAAAAATACTGGTCGTGGGGGGAGTTGAAACCAGTACCTCATGATCAGTAGTACTTTACACTGACGTCTAATCCGTTCCTCTGCTACAATCTTTTGTTTTTGTAGTCGCATTTGTTTTATATATACACATATTAATTTATTTTGTAAAACGTAGTATATAACATATATAGGTAAATTTTTGGAAGTGCATGGGGTCCCGGGACCCCGTGGGACCCTTAGTGGGTCCGCCACTGAGAAGAGATATAACAAGCAATCCCTATAAATAATTCCAACTTTTAATTTTTACGCTTAATTTCTATTTATAATTCACTTGTTATAGCAGGTAATATCTGCTCATGGATCATTATTGGCAGACGGTCAATTTAGTTGGAATTATACAAAAATAATCAGTAGTTGAGATTATTGTTAGCGGAACGGCAATAATTAAGATTATTATTTTAATTTTTTCCTATTACATAAAGGCTTCGTTATAAAACCACAGTATTGGTATTTATCATATATTACTAAAACATGGGGTTACGGACAGGGGGATGTAAACTGATGTTGGTGGTTGGCGTCCCCGTTCTAGTACATAGTCCATAAAAGTTCAATTCAACCTATACGGCAGCGGGTAGGTCATGGCATGGAAGGTAAAGAATGCTTAAAAATGGTTAGTTAATAAGAGAGTAATTTTATTCAAAAATCATGATCCAAAGTGTTATCCAACCCACATTAACATAACCAATCAATGAATCATCAATAATAATAATCATCATTGGCATCTTCATCTTCTTCATCGTCAAAATCCTCTCCATCAAACTCATTCCTAACTTTCTTGGCTTTAGATTTTCTTGAAGACGCGCCTGTTATGTCATTATAGAGTTTCTTATATATTGCAGGGCTGTCATACCAAGTTTGGGTTTTCATGATTGCACATTCTAACCAGTACGGGTTCACTTTCTTCTTCTCTGACATCTTCATCAAGGTTCGTTTCCACTTCTCCCCGAGCCGCTGTAACCGAAGACTTTTCTTCCCTCCAAACATGACCTTAATAATATCTTTCGTGTAGCGGTTGATATCTTCACCTTCGAGGATATATATGTACTGTAAAACATGGGAAACAATACAATGAGGGAAGGAACATGAATGGTCTTGTTATCTTTGAATAGAAATGCGCTAAAGAGAAGCGAAATGCATAAATTTGATTTCATCAAGTAACAGTCAAGGCTGGCATGAACCAACAGTTGAGATTTGAGAATGTTAACACCATTCAGATTTGGTGGCAGGTTGGGAGGCGAATGTCTAATTGAAAGAAAGCACTTCCCTAATTTCTTGTGTTTGGAGGCAGGGGTAACATTTTCTGGAAGATAATACTGTTGATGTTAATTATTGACAAATAAAAGGTCCTTCTAGAGTAGCTTTATGTTTCTGATTTTTGTAAGTTAAACATTATGCCCCCTTTTGGACACCACTTTTGGCTTTACTCCTTTGCTCAGGAACATAATTCGGCAATTTTCACAAACTGGACAAATAACACTTACTGAATAGGCCATATACTCCATAAAAACAACTTACTTTCCAGAAAAAAATACTTCATTGAAGTGTTGAACACACTCTTTGATATGTATGGGCAACAGTGCAACATCAAGAACAGCTCAACAAGCTTATATACGATAGATGCAGACACAGAAAAGATGCAAAAATTATTGAAGGATGGTGATTACCAAAAATATGAAGCCCAGAGTAGCCAAGACAGCTTGCAATATTTCATCAAACATCTCTGAACTGTTTTCACCTTCTGATCCACCAGAACCATCTTTACCATTTTTACCCCCACCACCTCCCCCACCACCAAAACCGCCTTTACCACTACCCCCATCATCATAAAACTCTTGTTTCTTAATCTGCTGCCTTAACACATCCTCAATCGACTGCTCCTTCAAACTTCCCATGAAATTCCCAACCACTTCCTTCGGAATACCCTGGTAGACAAGGTCACAAAGTCACAGTGAGCTTCACAGCTTTTGGTTCACCTAAATGATATTACCTCCATGCACAGAAATGAGGCAATGTTGGAAGCACCTAGGGTTTCTTAGGTATTGTTAGAATATGGTAATATTTTAGACTATTCCAACTATGTATCTAAATATTTAATGGCATAAATAATATCGCACTCCATGAAATGAACAGCTAAAGATATGGCATGATACCCTCCATTTTTTAAATTACCTAGAATCCTAGATTAAGCTTAGGTTCCATGAACTGAACGTTCTATGGGAAATTTCAGGAGCATGGTCCATAACTTCCTAAATGAATTACTATCCGAACTTTTGCTATATTATCAGGTGAGGAGTGGTGTTAGGTGACAACAAGTTAAGCAAGTCGAACATTCAAGTTTTATTAGGTATCGAATATCAATTAGCATATCACTAAGAAGCTCTTTATCTTTTTTTATCCAAGGAGCGAATGAGTTCTGTGAGTATCCTCATGCCAGTAGAAAGATATGAAAATCTATGAGCTACATCTAAACTCAAGCAATTTTATTCAACTTAAACGTGATATAATTCAGCATCTAAAGTGAAATAATGCAATGAAAGGATAGAAGCCAATATAAGGATCTTCAAAGGTATACAATGATATTATTATATTCAAACCAAAAAGCTGGCTTACTATAGCAATTAATAGTAACTAACTGTACTACCATGTCTCCAATATCCAGGCCATATTCCAGACTAACAATGCACAAAAAACAACACTTGTCGTCCCGAAATGAATTCCCACTTTTTTTCCACCCGTCCCTAAAGCATCTACCTATATCTTTTGAATGAAATTATCATCTGGTCCATATTCTTTTAAATCCTAAATAGATCTCAACAACCCAATTTCATCTTATAATAGCGGATGGGTCATGGGTGTAAATAACATTCTTACCTCATCTCTGTTGCCAGGCTTTGTCTTGCCCCCAAACAAGCAGACAGGTCCAGATTGTTTGGAAGTAGAAGTACTAGCCATGACATTAAGAGACAACTTAGGAAGCCTTGCAGTTAAGTAAATTGTTGACAACTTATTCAACCTCAGTGAAACTGGAATTCTCGGCTTTTTTGCTGGAGAAGCACTTCCAGATGATGAAATGGGAGGGTAGGTTGACAAGAAGGGTTTGCTGGTAGCGTAACTCATCTCGTCAAGCAGTTCAGTAAACTATGAACCTCATACTATCCTCTATAAACAATAAACTACATTTGATATGAAACACATAATTCAGGGATCTCTTGACAAATACACTTCTCCTGCAAATGAAACAAGATCAGAGACAGGATAAAAATCAGAGAGCAGGTAAACCATGAATGAAAGAAAACATAATTTATTTAACTGGAAATAGTAGAGAAGGCCAGGCTAACAAAAAAACGCAGATTTCTTAAAGATATTTTATTGTAATAGATAATCCTAATAGTATAACAAAAAAGGTAGAATTTACCATTAAAATAAACTAAGAAAATATGCAACCGAATAACATTTTATGATTCTATCCATGCGATGTATAAAATCACAAATACTAATAGAACAATGCAAATACTTCACTGAATTGATTTTCATACATTTGAATTTGTAAATTCAAACAGTACATCCAAAAATTTATAATTGATAAAAGCACTACAAAATTGGGTTCCATATCTGGATAATTGAAACAAGACTTATTTGTTGCATGAGAGCATTTGAAGTATGGAAGAACCAGAATTGGAAGGAAGATGCCAAGAGCCGAACTAATACCTGGACGGAAATTGAACAAAAAAATGAAAAGATTGAAAATTTAGGGTGTCGAAAGAATTTAGAAATAGTCAGTCGATCTAGCGATAAGTTGGACGTTTTAAACAATAATAAACCCGGTCCAGGATATTCTGCAAGGCGAGGCAGCTCAATAGTTAATGCTTTCACTTCATTGTATTTTTCTGAGTGATTTTGTTGCGTTATTAGTTAAAATATTTGAATGGAAACTTAATGAAGTTTTAATTTGACCGTAAATTCAAGGAAGTAAAAAATAATACTTCATGAATCCCAAAATTAAAATCAATTTATCTCTCCGATCTTCAAGGTGAACGATTGACCGTAATTATCTATAAATATATACTTATATAATCTATAATAACTTAGGTTTGAATAATATGACATAAAATTAATTTTGAGTAATTGAAGGATGGGGTAGTACTAAAAAATTCAAGGAAAAAAACAAGACAATTCAAAATTTTATATAAGATCGACTAATATGACATTTGTGTCCTCACTAGTGACATGTCCCTCGCCGCCGCCTATTTTGGCCGGTGTTAACTACCGCCTATTTCACAGAAACAATTACGCCCTCACCGTCGTCCAATGACTACCGCCGCCCTGTGACCACCCTGCCCCTAGTGAGCACCCTCGCCCCCGACCACCATTGCCCCTGACCACCACGCCCCTGACCTCCGCGCCACTGTCATTGCCCCAATCTTCGAGCCTGACCCCACAACTGAGCCTGTCCACCCCCGATCACTGTAACAACCCTACATCCAGATAAACAACCCTAAGCGTTGATATGTCGCAGCGCGACTGAGATGAAGAATAAGAAGAGTGCAAACCTGGAGGTGATGGCGTTTGTGGGTTAGTTGCGACAAAGTCGGCAGCGAGGATTGGCGGTGGTGAAGTCAGTGGTGGACAGCGATGGAATTTGAAGGGTTCGGATGAGGCATCGGAAAGTGTTCGACGAATGAGGATGTGTTTTTACTTTGGAGTGTAATTTGTTGGTCTAGTCTGGTCTGTTTAAGTCTGGTCTAGTCTGGTATTAACCGGTCTGATTTGGTCTGGTAAACGTCTGGTCTCTGTATATTTTATAACTATGGAAGTCAACTCTGGTCTGGTCTGGTCTAGTCTGTTTAAGTCTGGCCTAGTCTGTTTAAGTCTGGCCTAGTCTGGTCTAGTCTAATCTGGTTTGTTTAAATTTGATCTGGTCTGATCTATTTAAATCTAGTCTGATCTGGGATTGAAAACAATCCAAGTAAAAACATCCTGAATAGGCAATGTAGGGGTAGTATACTTATGTATGTTTCAATTAGTATCCTTTTGTCAAAATGGGAAAGTAGTTCTATACTCTCCATTTCTCTATTGACAACTCACAAAATAAAATCATTTTTATACGTGGATAAAATAAAATTATTTTTATATGTGAACAAAATAAAGTCATTTATATAATAAATTTATATATGAACAAAAAAGTCACCACGGTAAAAGAGAAATGACGGAATTATCCTTAAAACCTAACCCAACATCATCTCTAACATTTCATTATGAAAGCCTACTACTCTCCTTCACATCAGACGCCACCACCCACATCTACGTCGCTAACCTCGTTGCTACCATCAACCTCATTTTCAATTACTTTTCTTTCAGTACAGGGACGAAGGCGTGTGTTAACCAAGGGGGCCTTGGCCTCACCCAACTTTTTTATTTTATTAATTTTTACCTAGTAAAAATTTTTAGGCCCCCCTCAACTTTTATTTATTTTAATATGATAGCATAAATCACATTGGCTATCTCCCAATTTTTAACAGAATAAAAAAATGTTGCAAAAAATTAATAAAAAAAATCTTCATCATCAGGTGGTGCCCGCCCCATTTTGGAGGTGTAAATGTGTAATTATTTCACCACAAAATAAATATAGATATGTTAAAACAATAAAATGTAGAGCTAAAACAGATCCGAGAAATGTGTTGTCAAAACTAAAGGGTGGTCAAAATATAAACAATTCCCAGCCTCCCCTTCCATCCAGGGCTGGTCCTGAGAAAATGAAGGTCTTGTGCAAGTTCAACAACAAAATTTGGGTTTTTTTTCAAGTTCCAACACAAGTGAAAAAGACAAGTTAACGATCTAGTTTGACTTTGTTATAATATTTCATATGTAGTACTAAATAACTGTAGCAAGCAAAAATTCAAAATTACAAAGATCATATGTAGTGAATGATCTAGCTTCACTTTGTAATTTAGCATCATTGTCTTTGGAAACATAATTACAAACTATAATGTTTTATTCTCCCTTAATCTTGTACATGATTACAAATTTCAAATTAAAATTCAGTTTAAACTTTGAGTGAAATCATGAAAGGTTATAATAATATAATTATAATTTATATACCTAATGGGCTAAAGTTACCTAATAACATACTTAAACGCAGGGTGGAGACACATGTATAATTAGGGGGCCTTGGCCATTAATTTAGTAAAAAAAATTGGGGCCCCATCAAGTTTTATATGATAATTTGCACCCTGTGTTGGACCAATGAACTATGGACCTAAAATAAATATAAGGTTGGTCCGTATAACAATACTTCCGGGGGGCCTTTCATCGTAGCCTAGCTCTTCGCCCTTGTTTATTTCGTAATTTTGAGCAAGCTCCGAATTGGATTGTAAACTTACTTCACATTGTTCACAATGATTTACTTGAGGAATGAGATTTTTTGTTTATTATTAAAAAAATACTTATACGATATACCAAATTCTTAAATCTTAATTGTTAAACACAATTATAATCAATTCAATTACAACAATGAAAAATAACAACAATGCAACAAAGTAATTTCAGATTTTCAACAAACCAAATTGAAATTGTGAAATCAATTCAGTAATTATTATTAATTCAACAACTGAAATAAATAAACAAATAACAACAAAGCAACAAATTAATTTCACATCTTCGGGACTTCTGTAGTTGTGTTCAGCGCAGGCCTCTTGACCTCTTCCCGTCTTCCGCTTTCTTTCTTTTTTCTTCAAATGTTTGAGAGCTAGGCTAGTGGATTGGCAGGTGAGCAATACTGAGTTTTTTTGGGCCCTCCAAAATTTTGGACCCTGTCCAGCTGCACATTGAGTCCCTGCCCTGGGCCGACCCTGCTTCCATCACATCCTGGCTCCATCCCTGCTTCCATGATGGCAGGACGGATGAGAGTCGAACGGACATCACCATCATCGATGGAGTTCGGTAGCAGATGAAAATTGTCGTTGATGGGTGCCGGTTGCTAGGGACTATCAAAAAATAGTATAATAAGTGAATTATGAGTATAATAAGTGAATTATGAGTATATACACTTCGTATGATTCTCCAAATTAATTATAAACTATTTTTTCCCATATTGTTTTGCTTAAAATTATGGAATCAATATTTTCTTCTGAATGTGCATGCATTAGGTATAAAAAAGATAAATAAATTGAACTAAATTCAAGTTTAGTGTTTTAAAAAAAAATTATGATCATTTTGCGATAAAAATTACATGAAGAATTCTTAAACATGTTAACATTTAAGAATCAATTAATTTTTAATATTTAACTAAATTACCGTCATCAACCCATTTAAAAAAACTTCATCAACACTTTTGATGCCAAAAAGTGACTGGGAGACAACTTACATCACCGTTTAATAGTTGTGTTCAACATATCTAGTCATGCAGTCATGTTATTTCATCACGCAAGATGTTTTGCACATTACAATTTTTGAATTTCTTGTTTTATTTGTTAATTTGCATGAAAAAAAAACTATGTAAAGCAGTAAAGGACCCATTTTAGATGATTGACTCGAGTCTGGTGGTTAGAACGGACCCACTTAACACACACAGAAAAGGAAAAATTCCACTTTTGGTCCATGACTATTATACTACTTCCACATTTAATCAATTACTTTCAGATTGTCCGCATTTAGTCCGTGACCATTATCCCCTCACCACCCCTCGTCCTTCTGACCAAAATTCCGGCAAATTTAGTTCACTTATCAGCCTCAAAATTAGTCTTTGCATTAAATTTTATATAAAATTGAGTTTTTCATATCGGTCTTTGCATTAAATTTGGTTTTTCTTACCTAAAATCTGCATTAAATTTGCCGGAATTTTGGCCGGAAGGACGAGGGGTGGTGAGGGGATAATGATCACGGACTAAATGTGGACAATCTGAAAGTAAGAGACTAAATGTGGAAGTAGTATAATAGTCACGGGACCAAAAGTGGAATTTTTTCCACAGAAAATGACTAATTTGTAAAACACATATAACTGGAGAGTATAATAGCAGAACACTATATACATTTGGTTTTCATCGTCAAGTCTACAAAGTTGTCAAGTTTGCTGCTCCCTGTCTAGGGGTAGGGGGGCGAGGAAAAAAACAGAACATGCCATCTTGTTCACTGAAACTCCTACGCATTTTCCCAGAAATCTGTAAGTTGTATGATGCCACAAGTATTGTAGCAGAGGTTTATGTCCCAAATGTACATCAGAGAACAAACATTAAGATAGAATATAATCATTTCCAAACAATATCCCCTAAAAATTGGAGAGCTGGAACGCCTCTGATTTCTACGTCAACAAGGGGTGCCTGGACCAACATCAAACTAGACAGCTCAGGATCACTTTCTATTAATTCGAGTGCCCGTGCTTGATCCTGCAGCATTATTTTTGCAGTCAGTTTATTCAACACACCGACAATTGCTGCAAATAAAGTTTCTATGCGAAAGTGATGAAGTGTGTGAACATTTATCAACAGTATAGGACCATTGCAACTTCCCTTAGATGTCAATTTAGAGGCCGTTTGGTAGGCTAGTTTGGCTTTTCGGCCTTATCCGCTGTTTTTTCACCAAACACTAACAATTGCCACTGTGCAAGCTTTGAATTGGCCAAATATGAAATAAGTGTGCGTGAGTTATTTATTCTCACTGAAATTGATGTAAATGTCATTAATCTTTTAAGGTCAATGTTTAAAACTTTATATATTTTAAAATAATTGTCATTATGTTCAGCTAATTCAGCCACAACTTCCATCTCCAACAATGTCCAACCGATTCAGCTACTTCATCCATTCTAAGCCTTACCAAACGGGCTCTAATAGTTCAACACCAGATGAATGTTATTTCAAAATGAAAGGTTATTTTGGAACTTGCAGTATGGTAACTTCACATGTATAAAGTAACATGCAAGGAAAAATTTTAGTACCTTCCTTTTCACTGCACAGAATTTGCAATCCGAAGTAGATGCAGGAAGAACCTGGTTAACAATTAGCCGCTTAACAGGAACATCCTCCTTCTTCAAGGAAGCACATAACCTTGAAGATTCACTAATTGCCATCACCTATAATAGGAAGTAGCTTTAACTAGGTTATCAAACTATTAAGGAGTAATTAATAACTGGGCATGGAACATTATTTCCCGTCTAAGGTTCTGTTTGATGGTGGGTTAGTGAGTTGCTGTGAAAAATATTTTCTAGTTCCTAGAAAGTATGCCATTTTGTGTATAATATACTGCATAACATTTTACAAGAACAGAAAGGAGAAGAGAATGACGATCTACAAAGATATGCAAAAGAATTAAAGAAGATATTTTCTTCAGGAAAATGTTTTCTGCACCAACAAGAAAACCAGGAAAATCTTTTCAGAGAAAATATCGTAATTCAATCACATGTAGCCTAATTCCATATTAAATAGGCAAATAGCACAAGAAAGTTCAGAAATCTGTAAGCCATTGTTAGGAAAGCGTAAGGGTAATAAGTATCTAATCACTTTACTCTTACGTCGGAAAGAAAATTAATATGGAAGATGATAGAGATATTCTACATAGCTATTTTCCTATTTTTCTACCTAAAACTAACAGCCACCAATCCTCCCTCCGTAATGCTCCAACGAAACAAAATATAGGCCTCTTGAGGCATGAAAAGATATGTGGAGATAAAGCAGGCACATTGCCAATTGCTTTCAACATGTAAAGGAGCTGGATACCAAACAAACTGCAATATAACGAACCTTACTTTTATCATAGGTGTCAGTTTTTATTTATAGGATTTATTACCGTAGGAATAGTTACTATAACGAACTCCGTGGAATTTGTATCGCGGAAAAGTTCCCTAACTTTTATCATCCTGTCCCGTAATCGCTCCAATTTATCACCCTGCATACAGCACAGTAAAAAGTTGCTCTCAACAATAATAGGTGATTCGCATAGACATGTCACCAAGTCAATGACTGTCAGTCAAGCTTACAGCATCTTGTTTTGGAGCTTGTTCCTGCCCAAACACAGACTTTATTGCTGATGTGGCTGACGCTATCTTCTGCCTCAACTGTTACACAATAACACATACATAAGTTCTGACGAAGAGGTAGATTTAGTGAGGCGTTATCATACCTTGTCCTGAGCATTATGAACCAATTAAGAAACAGGAAACTTGAGGAAGTGTCTCGAGGGGACAGATGATTTCTAATTCTTTAATTAGTAGAATAATATGTAGTATAGGGTCATAAAAAAATGACCAAAATATTGTGGTCATACTAATTTATTATTCTGTATCTTAATTTTTAAAGTTTGTCAAATTGCAGAATTATTTTCTTAAAATGAAAAATAACCCCTCCCTCCCTACCCTACAAAACCCTCAAAAGCAAAACTCGCAGACATATTTAGTTACTTGGCAACAGCACTTGCAAATCTCCATATTTTCATTATCTAAACAAAAACTAGTCAATTGATTAGATAAGAAATTAGATGTACTGTTTGGAATTTGCTCTATAGGTACCACACAACCATTGACACTGCAAACATATAATCTTTAAATCACGCAAAGGCATAGGTTCTACCTTCAATATCTTTCCTATTGATGCATCCAAAAAATCTGGCAATGACAGGAGCCGTAGGGTATGACCCTATGCAAGACAATAATCAGTGTAAAATTTTTTTTTTTAATAGAGTAAAATAGGAAATAATACTAATAGCTCATCCTACCGTGGGAGCAGTATCAAACACAATACGGGTGAACATATTGTATTCTTGAGACTCCAGGAATTGCATAACCTGGCAATTGGTTATTTAATTATTAATCAGTAAAAGAAAAAAAATAGTACTACGCATAATGTATTTTATGAAATACACAGTTAAAGTGAAAAGGCAATGAAAAATGCCTTCGAAATTGCAATGGCTTCATCCAGACCAGGAGGTGGTGTATCCAGCAACTCCCCAAGTTTTAGTTCACCCAGCTGTGCCCATCACATTAGCTTACAGTTAATACCAAAGAAAGCAACGACTTGTTTAGTTCTTAGAAGAGCATAGATGAAATTTTAGTATTGTGGTAGAGTAAGCTCTTACGCTCGATTTTTCTGACTATTAGCCTTATAATGATATATACTACAAAACACTAAATTAAGAAGCTGTGTTAGCCAAACTGGTTTATAATCCAAAATATAGTCAAGAAGTTACCCTTTTTTGATAAAATGGTTGAAACAAAAGTAAGTGGCACTTTTAACTTCACCTTGAGATACTGTTTTATTTTTTTAATTTATTTTAAAGAATTAAATTTTTTTACCTTACAGAATTAGGTCATTTGAACAAGAATTTCAGGCTTTAGGCAGATTCAACCACTTCATCCGTTTGAGCCAAAATTTAGTTGTACCAAACGAGCTCTAAGAAGATGAGTTGAAAATATCTAAAGATTTAAATTATTTGTTTACTAAGCTAAATAAGTTCAAGCGATTCACCTTAAATTGGAAGTATGAGAAGGCATAATATCAGCCAGGGTTTAGGGCATTGATACACAATAAACTATTAACCATACAATTAACTAAGAAGCATTCACTTGCTTTTTTATTGAGGTCGACTCCTTACACATGATATATTTAATCACTGGACATATGGCATATTATACAGAAGAGCAAATGTAGGAAGAAGATTACCTGATCTGCAAGCACCCCAAGACCCATTCCATCCATGAAGTCTTTAATCCCTGATCCCCCATTACTTCGGGTTGCACTGCGAAACTCTTCCTTTGCTTTTTCAGGGTTTAACTGCCATTGTCCAGTCCACAAATATATATATCCACAAGTTGACCCAAAATTGATTATTATTCAAATAATAGAATAAAAAAACTACTGCACAGAAATTTAGTGTATACCTCAAGGGCAAACAATGGAGAGCAAGGTCCTTCCACTGGTACAAGAGTTCCCCCAGTCAAATCCTATTAAGAATATGGGTGGAACATTAAGATAGTGTATACTGTTTTTTTTACTCAACCAAAAATAGAATAGATAAGAAGAAGATAGGGAAGGAATAAAAAACAGTCTTAAACCTGTGCAAAAGAATCACTCAATGAATGTGCAGGATCGGTAGAAACCACGAGGGTTGGGTGACCACTGTTGGCGAATTTAACAGCAAGTGAAGAAGCACAGCTTGTTTTTCCAACTCCTCCTTTTCCACCTAACAAATAGTACTTACGTTGTGTTCCGGAGACCATTTCATCAAACCCCACAGAGGCCTCTGTGGGAGCAGCTACTGACCTCACTGCCATTAAAAAGCCCAGAGTTCTTAAGTAAAGACTTTCTTCATTGTGTATGACCAATTCAGTGAGCTACTTTGACACTTCAAAATGTGAACTAAATAGAAGCTTCTTGAGTTTGCCACAGCTATATTATTGTGAAAAAACTAAAGTATTCATAGTCCCAAAATAAGTGTTCTCTTTGGTTGTTTTACACAAACCAAGAAAAGTTAAAGAATGGTGTGACCAATTAGAATATTAAACTTTTTTATCATTCTATTTGTACGAACAAACAACTAAAATAGAAGCTAAAATAGGCTTGGATGTTGTTGTTGTTGTTGTTGTATTTGTACGAACAAACAACTAAAATAGAAGCTTCTTGAATTCGCCACAGCTATATAATTGTTAAAAAACTAAAATATTCCCAGTCCCAAAGTAATTGTGCTCTTTGGTTGTTTTACACAGACCATGAAAAGTTAAAGAATGGTGTGACCAATTACAACATTAACCTTTGTTATCATTTTAGTTTTACAATCAAACATTATACAGAGTAGTATTATAAAGGAAAAACCTTATAATATATCACATCGAAAAGCTTAAAGTACACTTCTTACCAGATCAAATTTTCTTCTGGTACACTTCTTACGAGATCACATTTTCTTCTAAGTAGAAACTTATTTTGGTACGGAGTGAGTAAAAATTACTAAAAGCACCTCAAGCATTGAACTCCCTGAGATGACCGAGTTTGTTCTCAATATTCTGTGGCATCTCTTTATCTGTGTTTATAGCCGCCTCTCACAAGAATGCAAGGTAAGGTTAACCTACATGACTACATCACACCCTGTGGGCCTGCATGACTAAATCCCAACTTCCATTTTTAACCAAACCCCTCTTAGCCTTTACTTTCATTGAACTGACCGATAGTGTCCATCCATTCAATCACAAGGCCCTTGACACTTTTTGCTTACTTTACACAGAGACTAGAACATCTTGAACAGGCTTGTTCAAGCGATTTAATTTGCTCTATTGCTAATAAAAATAATAAAGCCAACAACAATTGCAATATGCTTCCAACCATATTTTTTCTGGGCAAGGGAAGACATGTTCTATATTGAAGTTCCAAATTTTACAATCAAAGAACATAAACCAATTGTTCATATTCACTGACAATCTCCTAAATCCTAACCAGCTCAATTTCCACTCCTAGTGTATCAGCAGCTTAATTTCTTACATCCTGAATCAAAGATAATAACCCAATTGTTCAAACTTACGAGAAAATGAGAAGATATGCAAACAAACAGAAACGAGAGAGGGACGTGATGTAAATCACCAACTATTAAATTCACTAGATGAAGGATAAAGACTATATTTTACCCTGGAAAGGTTTTTAGAAGAAGGATAAAGATTATATTTTACCTTGGAAAGGTTTTCTGCGAACGTTCTGGGTGATGGAAAATGAGAGATGCGTACAGCCGAAGCTGCGCTTGAAATTTAATGACCCATATCTACCGCTACTATAATATTGAAGATAGCAATGTGAAGAAGACGAAAAAGGAGAACATGCATAGCGCAGGACAGTAGTTGCCATTGAATTCACTGAAGAAGATGATGAAGTAGCTGGATTTTGCAACCTACTTGAAAATAAGTGGTATGTTCAATACTTCAATTTAGCTGCGCAAAATTTATATGGCCAAAACCTAGGATTCATAATTACTTGAGTCTTTGGGTATTTTTAACTAAAAATTAAAATTTGAATACAAGAAAAATGCTTTAAAAGCATAACACAAAAAGGGAAAATTGATTTTAATAATCTCTACTATTGGCGGTCCGTTCATAATAATCTCAACTATCGATTATTTCAGAATAATCGATACTTTATGGATCTTCTGTCAATAATTGTCCGACGTGACCGACTATAAATATATTCCTATAGTTTCTAAAGAGATATAGCATGTAATCACTATAAATAATCCCAAATTTTAATTTTTACGCTTAATTTCTATTAAAATTCATTTGTTAGAGCATGTAATATGCGCTCATGTACCATTATTGGCAGACGGTCCATATAGTTAGGATTATACAAAAATAATCAATAGTTTGGATTATTATTAGCGGACCGGCAATAGTTGGGATTATTATTTTCAATTTTTTCAAACAAAAATTACAAACTCGCAATGATAGCAGAATATCGGTGTCAATCGTCTCCAATTATATAACAATGATGTGAATTGAAATCTCTGATTATAAAAATTTAATCTTCTTTTTAGCAGGTAAAGTATAGGTTATGCACATTAAATGTCAGTGCATTAAAAACATAAAAAGTGACACTTTAAAAATTATTGAAATATTCTCCTCACTTATTTTTAAACTAAAAGTTTACATTTACTAAAAACATTATCTTCAATATCATAACTAAAATGGGAGAAGAATTTTAAAAACAGTACTAATATAATATAATATAATATAATATAATATAATATAATATAATATAATATAATATAATATAATATAATATAATATAATATAATATAATATAATATAATATAATATAATATAATATAATATAATATAATATAATATAATATAATATAATATAATATAATATAATATAATATAATACAATACAATACAATACAATACAATACAATACAATACAATACAATACAATACAATACAATACAATACAACACAATACAACACAACACAACACAACACAACACAACACAACACAACACAATACAACACAACACAATACAATACAATACAATACAATACAATACAATACAATACAATACAATACAATACAATACAATACAATACAATATAATATAATATAATATAATATAATATACTCCCTCAGTCCCGCTAGAAGGTTCCCGTGAAGAGTTTACGATGATTGACTGTCGATAAAGAAACTTAATCCTTGTTCACAATCTATTTATTTTTAGTAAATAAAATTAACATTTTCAGAAACTATATTAAAACCGCTACAAAGCCTGATAAAAAAATGTAAATTTGGCAAAAATTTGATTTATAAAGTAACAGATTAAAAATAATTTAAGTTGACCATGAGAATAGTGGACGAGAACCTTCTAACGGGACGGAGGGAGTAATATAATATAATATAATATAATATAATATAATATAATATAATATAATATAATATAATATAATATAATATAATATAATATAATATAATATAATATAATATAATATAATATAATATAATATAATATAATATAATATAATATAATATAATATAATATAATATAATATAATATAATATAATATAATATAATATAATATAATATAATATAATATAATATAATATAATACACCAAGTAAATTATGAGTACATCTGCATTGTGTCATTCTTTGGATTGTTCCAAAAAACAAACCATGTTACTACCTTCGTCCCAAATTGATTTGAAAAATTGATTTTTCTTGGTCAAACATTTTCATTTTATTTCAGTTAATTAAGATGTCAATTTTTAATTATATTCTAATTTGGAGTTTGCAATTTTGAAGATATTTTAATGTAGTTTCTGAATATGTAAATTTTTATTGTTAAAAATTGAATTAATTATCTATAAGGAGTGGTTAACTTTAACATTAGTTGACAAAAAAATAATAACTTTGCAAATCAATTTAGGGGGATTACTAATAAAAAGTATTATATTGATTTGTGCCTTGAGAAGTTACTTTTTCTAGTAAACATGTTTGTAATGTAATTGAATTTTCTATATCAATTATATTTGTCAAACGAAAATGTTTTTAACATGTGCATTCACACATATAGTGAGATCCATATATACTTGCACCAAATTCCGGTATGAATAAAGCTCCTGCTAAACTAATACTCTTAAGAATTAAAACTAATACTTTTTGAATTGGTGCTATGATTGTTTTTACTATATAAAGAAAACATGTGAGTTTTTGCCACTTTTGGTCCCCCGACTATTGTGTCAGTGACACTTTTGGTACTCGACTTTTAATTTTTCCATTTTTAGTCCTCGACTATTGTGCGAGAGGCACTTTTAGTCCCCAACTTTCAATTTTCCCACATTTAGTCCTTTGAGTATTATCAAATTGACAATTTTAGTCTTTCTACTATGATTTTGACACAATAAGTGAAGGACTAAAAATGTCACTATTGCAATAGTTGAAGGACCAAAAGTGTCACTTTTACAAAAGTGGAAGGACTAAATACGAAAATTTTTAAGGTCGGGTACCAAAAGTGTCTCCCGCACTATAGTCGAGGACTAAAAATGGAAAAATTAAAAGTCGAGTACCAAAAGTGTCACTGACACAATAGTCAATGGACTAAAAGTGGCAAAAACTCGAAAACGTGTAGTAGAAAATACTTTAGCAAATATATTTTCAACTACTTAGCAATTTAGATTTTATTTCCTAATACATATCAAAGAACAATTGATTTAATAATAACAATGATGATGATGATGATGATGATAAGTAGTCTTTCACTCGTGTGTTGCACGGGATAGCGAAATAATTACAGAACTATTCAAAATTGCTTGCATCATGAGCTATAGTTTATATATAAAGGTCGATTGTTTTTCGAAATCACACTCCCATTGGTAAATATCATAGCACCCTCTAGGGCATCTCCAATGCTGAGGTGAATTGCGATTCCACCTCAGCAAATGCACTTGTAAAATGGACTTGACTTCTCCAATGCAGAAAAGAAAACACACGGTGCATCTTATGTGGCATTGAGCAAGGTCTAGCGCAAGGTCTATCAATGGACCCTTGGTGGCACCTTCTGACAAAATAAAAAGAAAGTGACGGGTCTATGTGTATGGAGAAGCACTTATTTCTTTTACTCCCTATTTTTCTTTTTTATCTTGCTTTTACATTTGTTGGCCTTGTTCGCACCGGAGATGCAAGGAATGCACCTTCCTTTTTGTAATAATGGACCCAATTTTTAATACTTTGTCTATATTTTTGCCATGTCACATGCAATAGACCAAGAGCATTGGAGATGTTCTTAGAAAGAGACATAATACAACAATACTTATCTTCGTTCCACATAAAGGTTCTCTTTTTTTTGGACGTCCCATATAACGATTCTTATTTCCGTTTTAGAAAATAATTTGAAATCTTAAATAACAAATTAATCATTAAATATTAAAAAAAATAGATTTATAGCATCATAGTTATCAAAACCAACCCAATTGTTATATAAACATATTAAAACTATTTCTCAAAATATACTCGAACTTCCTATTTCATTATTGTCTAAATAATCATGTCGTTTTGCCATGAGAACATTTCAACGGAACGGAGGTAGTAGTAATTTAGATTTAATATTTTTTGTGTAAAAGGGAAAATGTAATTTTCAATAGTCTCAAGAGTCACAACACACATGCTATCTAATCATTTCTATCACAGATATAAATGTGATTTAGAATGCAAGAGAATACAATGAATATGATATGTAGAATAAATGAATAATAGCTTGTAAAGTGATAATGTGTCATTCAAATTTATAGTGAATGTATTTTCATATACAATATTTTTTATTTTTTATTTTTTATAACCCGGTAAGCAACCCATCAAAGTATGCTTGGAAACATTTACCATTTAAAAAAACGAAATAGACATTACCAAAGGGGATTTGAAACCCCAAAAATTAAAGAAAATAAACATTTAAATAATGAGATCGAAGCAAAACCAGTCCCACAAAAAAAATTAACAATAAACGTAAAGCACCTTCAGAATGTCCATTTGAATGACTCTTGCCACTTCTTTGGGAATCATATATATTTGTTAAACCATAGGAAGTTTCTCAATCCATACGGAGCCAAAACTTCTGTTGCCTTATTCGGTTAAACTAGAATCAAATTAATGGTTTTTATATTTCCATATATTAATTTCAATAAATCTGAAAAACTTTTGACATGCCTCTAAGACGTTACATCTACCTTGATGTCATCAGAATGGAGAGACGCACACCTTGATTCAATATTTCCAAATCAGTAGTAGAACCATTCAGCGGAAAACCCAGGTGAAGATTTACCATATTGTCTAAAAACTGACCAACTCAGCCCCAACAACATTTATCTAGGTTTGGAACATTGAAATTTCTAGGAATTAAACTCACTTACCCGTGGGCGTAGCCCAACCGGTAGTGATGGAGTGCCACAAGGGTTAGGTCCCGGGTTCGAATCCCGACAACTGCGATGAGAGGTGACTATGCTAAATATGGCCTCTGCAAGTTCCGTCCGGTCGGGGTTGGGGCCTGACGTGCACTTTGTCGTGAGGTGCACTCAAAATAAATACAATACAACAAATATACGTAGTATATTGAAGTAAGGTTCGTATCCACAGGGAAAGGAATACTTTTCTTTTATATAAATAGTAACAAGGGGGGTTTTAAGTTTGAGTTGATTCAATTTAATTGACACTAAGATGAACGACTTATATGAGTTTAATTAATAGAGGTGAGAACTTGGTTTTGCTTTTATCCACTTAATAAAATGTTCGTCGATCCCGGTTATATCTGTAACTA